ATTGATGATGGTATTTCAGTTTGTGTTGGTGTTTTGTTTTTGGTGTCCAAAGACCACTGTACCGATTTGCAAGGTATGCGTTGGGGGACGGGACACCTACATGAATCTATGATGTTGCATTCTGGAACTCGGTAGAGGATAGTTCCGGTGTACATCAGACATTGTTTGTGAAGTTGTCTTTGTGTGGTTTGAATAGGAATTTGTATTTGTGTAACAGGAGACGAGTGATTGTGTGTTTAGATAGGAGAGGCTGGTTGTTTGGAAGTAGATGATTGTTTGAGATGTGTGTGGAGTGTGTTGGGTTGTCAGTGGAATGTGACTGTTTTGTTATTGGTGTTGTTAATTTGAAGCAGCTGTGGTGATGACGATTTGGAGTTTGGAGTGAAGGACATAAGTGCCAGATGTTGTATTGAATTGAATGAGGCTAACTGACTGACTGACTGACTGACTGATTGACTGATCAGTCGAGTGTAATGTGATTCAGAGAGGATGATGTGTTTAGTTAGAGATAGGTATGACGACGTTTCGTTTAGATGGATGTATGACTGAATCGGTGTTTTGAGTGAGAGTGAGAGTGAGAGTGAATGAGTGTGTGTGTGTGTTTGTGTGTTGATGATGATGATGACTTTGTGTATTTGTGATAATTGAGTAGTTGGATTGGTTATGTTTTGGTATTTGTGTTGATTGATGCAGGTGTGACACTACAGGTGCCTGAGTTGAGTACGAGGATACAGAGTGTCAGCTTGCTACATTGTTGTTTCCGTCCTCTTCCCTGCACAGACTCTGATGCCTGTGTCAGGTGTACAGAACGGATATATCACTTAAATTGTTGTCGTTGTTGTTGGTAGTGGTGGTGGTGGTTGTGGCGGCAGTTTCGCAGTATTGTGGTCAATGTACAAGTTGTTGATGGTTCTGTATAATAGTTTGTTGTTGTTGTTGTTGTTGTTGTTGTTGTTGTAACGTGTGTTATTTGTGCAAATGTGGTGAGTGTGTTGATGAGAGGTAAGAGAGGATTAGTTGTGTTTGTAATTGAGAGAGTGTTGTGATGGATGAGTAGGTGGTGGATAGACTTGATATGAGTGGATTGTTTATTTGACTGTTGGAATGGATTGTGAAGGAGAATAATTCGGTGTTCTCTGAGCCTGTATTCGTGATGCGAGTAAGAGGTCAAGTGGTCACCGTACAATGAGTGACAGATGTTGCACGACTTGTCTGTGTTTGGCAAGGACGGAGACTGTGAGTAATCAGACAGTTGTTTATCATTCGACGGTTTTTGAGTGAACATTGATTATTTGTCGATGGGTCTGTGAGGTATAGTTAAGCTTTGTTCGCAATCGCAAGACTGTTGTGGGTTCGCGAAATATCCCGCTCACAAGCACTGGGTTTCTTCTGGTTTCTTACAACTCATTTAAGACCGTCGATCTACTCCGGATGACCGTGAGTTTGACCACAGACGAAGGATGTTACGTAATGAAATCGGGCAAAGTTTGCGTAAGGACCGTGAAGCCTGGAGGTCGGAGCGTGCTAATGAGCTGGAAGCAGCAGCTGCATCTGGTAATTACCCGAAGCTCTTCCAACCCATCCGAGCCACTGGCAGCAAAATGTATGATGTGAGCGAAACAATCTGCGAGGATGACGGAACGCCAATCACTAACATCTATCGACATCTTGGACGATGGGCAGAATTTTTCGAAGGGCAGTTCAACTGGCCTGCTGCTCCGGCAACATCGGTCAGACTGTCCTGCCCTCCATGGCCGGTGACGACTGATCCACCAAGTGAGGCGGAAGTCCGCAAGGAACTCCAACTCTTGAAACGTTACAAATCACCGGGCCCAGATGACTTACCTCCGGCTCTTTTTAAAGATAGTGGTGACTTTCTGACTAAGGGACTGACGACGTTGTTTACAAAGGTCTGGGAACTAGAGAGTGTACCAACGTCATGGAATGAGTCGATAGTTGTCCTTATCTTTAAAAAGGGTTCACGTCGTTCCTGTAACAACTATCGGGGGATAAGTCTACTTCCGATTGCGTCCAAGCTATTGGCTTCCGTCATACTTCGTAGGTTGTTCAAAACCCGAGAAAGATTGACTCGCGAGGAGCAGGCTGGGTTTCGTTCTGGTCGAGGATGTATTGATCATATCTTCACCCTCCGCCAAATGTTAGAACACCGTCATACTTACCAAAGGCCAACAATCTCAGTGTTTCTTGACATTAGGGCCGCCTTCGATTCGTTGGATAGGACTGTTCTCTGGGATTGTCTAGTGAAGAAGGGTGTGCCTGAGACGTTTATTAACATCCTAAAAGCCCTATATACAAACACCGCAGGCAGAGTGAGGGCATACAACCACCTCTCTCCATTATTCCATTCAGGCAGTGGAGTTAGGCAGGGTTGCCCAATCTCACCATTCCTCTTCAACTATGCCATCGATGACATTCTGGAAACAGCTTTAATAGATGTAAGTAGTGGCGGTGGGGATCTGTTACCTGGAGAAAGACTTCTCGACCTTGAGTATGGGGATGATATTGTCTTACTGTGCGAGAATGCCCAAGCCATGCACTCCGCACTTAATCAGTTGGCAATCAATGTCCGTAGGTATGGTATGTGCCTCGCACCTTCGAAGTGCAAAGTACTTCTACAAGACTGGCAGGATTCTAATCATGTACTCACTCTGGATGGTGAGCAGATAGAAGTAGTCGAGAAGTTCGTGTATCTAGGTAGCTGCATAAGTGCTGGTGGTGGCGTGAGTGATGAGATCAATGCACGTATAGTGAAAGCCAGAGCGGTTTATGCCAATCTGGGTCATCTTTGGCGCCTTCGTGATGTCAGTCTGGCTGTAAAAGGTCGGATCTACAACGCGTCGGTGAGAGCGGTTCTGCTCTATGATTGTGAAACCTGGCCTCTCCGAGCTGAGGTCGTTAGACGACTCTCTGTGTTCGATCATCGCTGTCTCCGAAGGATTGCTGACATCCAGTGGCAACACCATGTTAGTAATGCAGAGGTTCGGCATCGTGTATTTGGGCGCAGAGACGATAATACAATTGGTGTTATCATCCTGAGACATCGACTTCGATCGCTTGGACATGTTCTACGAATATTGTCCCAGATAATTCCATGTCGTGCATTATTTGCCGACTCTGGGACTGGTTGGAAAAAGCGGAGAGGTGGTCAGTGTATGACATGGTGTCGTGGTATGAAGGAAGGCTGCAACGGGCTAGCTTCTGTTGGTCCTTCACGACTCCCCGGCTGGGGTCCGAGAGATGGTGTAACATAGTGGCTAGAGACGTTATCAGATATGGCTCAGAATAGAAGCCAGTGGCGATCCTGTTGTAACCTTCTTTTACTTTCTTCGTAAAAAGTGATTGCTTCTTCCTTAACTGAAAGATTTCTTCTGATTGTACCGTTTCGTTACCCCCATTATTGTTCTCTTTTTTTATCATTCCCCACGTTCCTTACTTTTTTCTTTCTTTCTCCTTAAATTCGCATTATTTTGTGTGGCGCATATATATTTGGTGCCCCCCTGTACCAATATTTGTGTACAAATAAATTAGTAAATAAACATCCTATTGTTCCTTTGCTTGCCTAACCCGTCGAGAATGCCATTAAGTGCCTGCACTATGCGAATCATTTATTTCAGAGATACTGGGTTTATATATCGACGAAACAGACCTCAAAGCACCATAAAATAGAAAATTACATTCATACATAAATAAGCCAAAAGGTTGCTGTGAACTTGGGAGACCGTAATTAATAAACTGAGTATAACCTATGAACAGTAAATCGTACAATAATAATCTGTAGGTCAGAACGAAGTTTATAATAAGGGGTATATGTTTGTCTGAGTTGAGTAACTATTGTTGGTTCGCTAGTTTTTGAGTTTGATTTTTTTTATCGTGTATATGATTATTGCTGCTTGGATTTTTTGTTGTTTTTAAGTAAATACTCCATCCGCTTTGGGGATGCTGAAATGTATGGTTTTGTTATCAATTAGGGTTGGTAGGTTTTCACAATTGATTGATCACTGTGTGGTGATCAATGTCACACATGACATGTTCGCTATTTATTTGCACTCATCAGCATTTTTGACTCATTTTCGATTTTGAACTTTTGTGTCTGTTTTCTCCGGTGTATCAGTTTTCCTTTCTGGGAAATAAGTGATTCAGCTGCGACACCTGATGTATAGGTACGGTACTTGATCAGTAAGCATAATCCTACGTCCTATTGTATTCAGTGTTCTCAGGTGTGTTAAGTGAAAAGGAGATTATTTACAGATGCAAAGTAGTTCTGTTGCGCACTTTTCGAATTTTAATAACTGCACATTTCAGTTTGTGTGTGGCAAGATTGTTTCCACTAACTGTTAACTCTCTTCATCTGCTTTATGATATTTGTTTGCAGTTTGTGTGCTATCGTAATAAACTTCATCATATTTCAGTGTAGTCGTTCATATATAATTCATCATATCTGTTGTACTGCTCACCTAAGTATTATTCGTAAATAGGTTTATACAGCGCGTACAACCGAGTTAGGAATTTTAGGATCTATCTAGTGTGATATTCCACGTATATATATATATATAAACTCATCTAATACCGATTTCTGAAAATTGTATATTAATATCCCTACTTAACTAAATCAGGTACCGTAAGTGCATCTTATTTAGATATGGTTGCATCTGGAGCTAGAGACGAGGCACTATGGTTTTGGATAAATAGAAAACTTCTTGCTAGCTCAAAAAATTACCAGCCAGATGGCCAAATTTATCGATGCGTGCTCTGTATTGCCAGGGAATACCGCATGCCCAGTCGAGGTTTATTAAAACCCAAACCAGGTTCACCGTAGGACGTTCCAGAAAATGAAGTCATCAAAGTCACGTCTTTATCCCATCGAAACAACGACAAAGGAAAATGAACTGAGTGTAGAATATTTTGAACAATGAATCTATTCACAATTTCAAACTAAGTACATGAGATATTAAAAGATTTTATGACTGTCGAAAAAACAATCAGCGTAGTGGTTTCCATGGTTTGATTATTTCACCGAATGTTTGATAAGCTATATGCAAAGAAAAATACAAATAATTGAATATACATATTAGTTATATAATTGACTGTGTAACTTGTTAGATAAAGATTATATATCTGTAGTCAGCTGAAAACTGACTTCAGGTGAGATCACTTAAAGAAATTAAATAAAAAAAATACATCATTTAATACTGAATTAGACAGTCATACTTGGGTACGATTTCGATGTTCTCTTTATTGAATGACTTAAGGCCCTCTGTCGCTAATAAATAATTCCACCACTGAAGGATGACGGTGCTTCTAAATTGTCCGTAAAATTATCGAACTCCTAAGACAACTCAGAAATGTGTCTTAATGTATTCGGCCTTCCGAAATCGGTCAGTCACAACGTAGAACCTGTACGGATGTACATCGGTTCAAGTAACTACACCCCATTAGCAGAGGGAGATGAAGTCATGTTGTAAGGCCAAATCCCAGAATAGTAGAGGTAATAACATCGAAGACAGGACTCGAAAAAAATTAAACAATACAAAAAATTATGAGGAATTCAGAAACGAAGCATTCGGAGGAACACAGAGTGGATGTGCCTGCTCCATTGCAAACGATTTTGAACTGTCATTTAAAGTCTCTAACCACTGGTTACAATGATCATGCGGGTCCCAACAGGGCAGTTTGTGCTTATTACCAATTGCCACTGACTTTATGGGCTGATGCCATGTCTTGGTTTGGACGCCTTTAGCTTTCTTCCAGTAGCAGAACACGTCACCCGTTGAAGTAGGCGGTGGTTGGGCATACGTAACACATGTCCCGACTACCTCAGTTGATAGAGATCTACTATAGTCGATTTCACATCTTTGCCTAATACCCTATGCAAAATCAGTGTTCCGAAAATACACGAGCGATGCTTCGCAGACACGTAGGATCGGACACCAGTAATCTACGAATATCCCCTTCAGCTGAGAGCTGGTTTGTTCTCTCACAGTAGGCTGTCGCTGATGGCATCCGGCCAACGGACATTCAGTATCTTGCGTAGAAAAGTGTTTATAAATACTTGTACCTTTTGATGATGGTTGGAGTAGTTCTCTACAATAGAACTGTCTTGATGTTTGTATTAAAGATTCTCACTTTGATGTTGATTGACAGTTGTTTTGAGTTCCATGTGTTCTTCAACTGTAGGAATACGGCCTTTGCTTTGCCAATCATTGCCTATATGTCTGCATCCAACTTTCCTTGTTCATCAATGATGCTACCCAGATACGGGAAACTTTCCACCTCTTCCAAAGTTTCTCCACCAATTGTGATTGGGTTAGTGTTCTCCGTGTTGTGTTCAAGAATCTTACTTTTCCCTTTGTGTACGTTGAGGCCTATTGATGCACAGGCTGCTGATACACTAGTTGTATTCATCTACATTTGTTCGTGTGTGCGGGATAGAAGGACCACGACATCTACGAAGACAAAATCTTTGAATTGATTTCGAGCTGTCCATTGTATTCCGTACTTCCTGCAAGATGTCGAGGTCTTCATAATCCGGTCAATCACCAGAAGAAAGAGAAAGGCGGAGAGTAAGCAGTCTTGTATGACTCCGGTCCTCACTTGGGATGCGTCTGTCAGCTGTCCTCTATGCACCACGTTGCACTGTAGTCCGTCGTATGAATTCCGGATGATGTTGACGATCGTCTCAGGTACACCATAATATCAAAGAAGGTTCCATAAGGTCCTCCTGTCTACACTGTCAAACGTCTTCTTATAGTCAATGAAGTTGGAATACAGTGACGAGTTCCACTCAACTGATTGTTCGACGATGATCCGTAGTGTCGCGATTTGGTCTGTGCACGATCGATCCTTACGGAATCCGGTCTGTTGATCTCGAAGTTGGGTGTCTACTGAATCCTTCATCCGGTCCAGCATCACTCCGTTGAATGCCATTCCCGGTACTGACAGTAGTGTGATGTGTCTGTAGTTCACACATTTGCTCAGATCTCCTTTCTTTGGTAACTTGATGAAGGTGTCCTACATTCCAGTGTGTCTGTGGCACTTGTCCTTCCTCCCAAATCTTCCCGAATAAAACATGGAGCATGTTTGCAGTTACTTCCATATCAGACTTCAGAGCTTCGGCTGGTTTATTGTCAGGTCGTACTGCTTTCCCACTCTTCATTTGTCTAATGGCCATCTTGGTTTCTTCGATCGTTGATGGAGTGACATCTATAGGCATGTCTGTGTGCTGCTTCGATGTCCATTGAGTTCAGTGGAGCTGGCCTGTTCAAGAGTTTCTTTAAATCCAGGGTTTCGATATAGATCCATTCCTTATGACGAGGCTTGTTGCGGCCCAGCACCTCCTGACACTTTGAAGTCAGTGCTTCTTTAATACCTTTCCAGTTGTCCCCCATGCTAGTTTATCCTTTCAGTAGATCCTGTAACGCTTGGAACATGTTGTTGAGAGTTATCTTGAATTGGTTGAATTTGTTAGTATCTCGAAGGAAGGCTGTATTGAACCTTTGTACTGCTGCTTCCCCAGCAGTCCAGTGTTTATTTGGCTTCAGTTTCATCCTGACGACAACCAGGTGGTGATCTGAAGCAAAGTCAGCTCCTCTCCTGATTCTCACGTGTTCCATTGTCTTTCTGAATTCTTTATTGATACAAATATGATCTATTCGGTTCTCCGTGGTGTGATCCGGTGAGACCCACGTAGCATTGTGTATGCGTTTGTGTGGGAATATTGTGCTGCCCATAGATTTGCAAATCTCTCACCATTCTCGTTCCTTTCTCCTAGTTCACGTCATCTCATGATATCTTCATATCCTGTGTTGTTCATTACGACTGTGGCGTTTAGGTCTCCCATCACGATGGTGAGATCCTTTCTTGGGCACTCCGCTATGATTGATTGCAGCCTCTCATAGAACTTATCCTTATTGTCGTTGTTGCTATCATTGGTGGGTGTATAATACTGGATGGGATTTATCGTGATTCCCTCCTTCTTTGTTTTGAAAGACACCATCACTGGAATCATGTTCGTTTTTATGAATTTTCTCCATTCTATTGTTGAAGTCCATTAGGCAGCGTTTATTTCTAGAAGAATTAATTTAATAGATGTGCACTTTTTGACTTACATAAATCCATTCTTTTTGTGTAGAACAAGTCGAAGATTCCTTGAAAAACGCTGAACAGCGTCTTACTAAAGCGTCTTTAAGAGCTAAGTTAGCTCATGAGAAAGCAGAAAATGCCGTAGCTGAACGTAAAAAAGAACGACAGGAAGCTGAAAAGGCACTTTCAGAAGCTAAAGTTCAACTGGAATCCACGGTTTGTGCTTTAAGGGAGAAAAATTCTCTAAAAGAAACTTTACGCTTAGAAGCTGAAGAACTTGCAAAAGAACTGAATACTTTGAAGGTAACTTTTTTCTCGATTAAATAATCACATACATCAGGTTTTCTTGACTTATGTAAGCGACGTTATGATATATCTTGTAGACATTCAACCACTATATCGTAGATTCGTGTTCTATTCCATCTATTTCAATTTGGTGACCTGAGTATTTCCATAGCCACCACGTAGGGTTTGATTCAAAGCCAAGTGCACAAATCTATATTTGGGAATCTGCATCATGCCAATAAACATAATACTAGTCATTATAAGTAAAGATGGATGGTGGCTAGCAGCGGAATTTGAGACGCGCGTTCCGTCGTATTAATTTATTATTTATTTTAACACATAAGTATTGGTACAAGGAGGTACCAAATACATACGCGCCACACGAATCTCATTTGACATGTGTGAGGGCTGTGATACTGCCCGGGTGCCCAAATCGAAACAGGTGGTTTTCTTAGGGGGCCACAACCCGAGCCTTCGACCTGAAGATCTGACCCACAAGGCAGTGGAGCATCGTGAGGAGATGCAGTCCCATGGTAGCCGGTGACCAACGATTGGTTCATACGCCGTTTGTTCCTGCAGGATACTGGAGCCCATGTGCACCATTGGTTTGGGATCCGGTTAAAGCGCCGGAAATCCGCTTTTCGTCCTCTCATTTTCGTAAACAACACCCCCGCCGTGAAAAGGCAGTGAGTAGGACTTCCCTGACAGAGGCTATATACGCGTGTCCATGTGAGAGCATTTTGAGAGGGAGAGCTGACTCTCCCCACTCTCGGCTGTACCAGGGCATTTGGGGGACTCGTCTGCTGGATGTACCTGCACCATAGAGTTGATGTCTACTTCGGGGCTCAAATCGATTACTGTCGATTCAAACGCTATCGCGTTACCCACTTACCTACTATGTTCAGATAACCACTAGCTTGTTCAATGGGATGAAGTTTAATTTTCGTATTTGTGGATATTTTGAACATAGAAGTTAAATTGTGTGTATATTATCACACTATTTTCAGTTTCGACGTATGAATGAATATACGTGTCATATTGCAAACATGTATTGGAATCGTAAAACCAAAGAAGTAAGGGATACGTAAAAACAAAGATGTACAAATAAGGCGGTCAATGATATAAAAAAGCTCATAATTATCAAAGCTTATTTAGCTCACAAGTTTTGTATGGTATAATAAAACTAGTTACTCAGTAAAATTAATTGTACAAGTTTAAATAAAAAAGTTACGTCATTCTTCATAAATAACAGCTGGCTATCAATGAAATTGTACTCTGTGTAAGATGTGCTTTTTTGTGCAACGACGTGATACACGTAAATAAGATACTCGAAACTTTAAATGAAGTCCATTGTAATATCAAATTTACGGAGGAACATGGAAGGTGTGTACATTCTTCACAAAGAAACGTGGAGTAGATAATTAATATTTTATGGCTTTTGCTCTATAAGCTATTGTTAGCGGGACAAAGACTGGATTAAAGCATGTTCAATGCACGATTGCTTTGGTGCATGCTGATTGGCTAATTCCTATCCAATCAGCGCTAGTCGATACTTAGATAACACTCTAGAAATCTTCTCATGTAAAAACTATAAATATACTAACGTTTTTCCTTTTGTGCTCTTACTTCCATCTAACTTTGTTATTTGGAATATAATCTCTTTCCTGTTTAACCGTGTTCTGGTTTGGGGACTTGTCGAGTGAATTGGTGTCCGAGAATACTAAGCAATAGGAATTGCTGGGTTATAAGCGTAAGAGAGAATTATAACAGCTATAGATACGGATTAGTGCGAAATCTCAGTAACAGGATTATGGAATCTCGAATACGTAGCGATAGATAATTGTTCATGAATGAAATGTATACCCTTGAGCCTTTATAAGGATATATAGTACCTCACACCCTAATAGGATGGAAGTTTACAAGCCTGATCAAATGCGTTCACTATGATTATGTCACGAATGAAATAAAATACTAAATGTAGCTCTAAAAAGTTCATCTTCTTTAGCGAAATTGTTACCAGAGTACATAACACAAGGCTTACTATATCAGAAGGATTTTTGTGGATATTATAGTAATTTCAATGGTTGAGATCATGAGTCAATTGAAGCTAGACCACCATGGAAAACCTAGAAGCACTGGACGGCCGTTTCGTTCTATTGTGGTTGCTCTACAAAAATGTATAATTTCACGTTATCTTGACGTTTAATTAAAAACCAAAAACACAAACTACAAAATTTTGCTTTCGATTGAGCAACGTTAAAACCCTTTACAAAGGCAAGTCGACAACACTTAATTCCAATAAAAAAATCTGCAAAAACAGTGTATTAAATTTTTCCAAAACAAAGAATGAAGATTCACAGCTGAATCAGCATTTGACCGAATAATTTAAAAACGATTAATCCTAAATCTGTCTAAGGAAATTCGGGTTCTTTTAAATGACGCTTAAATAATGACATTACAAACTAATAGTAAGTTCACATCCATTATAAAAATCCTGATATTCTACACCATTTTAAATTACCAATAATAAACAAAGCAACATAAATGCCTCATCGAATGCATTAGAAAACTAATTCATTATTTATGACTGAAAAGTCTTCCTGTGAACGTTTATTAGTTTAGTATTGCCAACATTCAATCGATAAATTAGTACTTTCGAAAACTCAAGGGATTGGATTTTAACGACCGTATTTCCAAACTGCAATGTACATGGCTAAAAGACTACTGTAATATACAATTAACATCCCCAACAAGCAAAAGATAAAAATTTGCCTACTATTACAAGCTAGTGAGGGCTAAAAATGTTTTCATGGTCAAATTTAGAATAAATTACTCGTTTTTGACTATGTTAAAATAAAAACGAACAAAAAAAGCGCTTCCTAAATTCTATTTCTTATAGCGTTTAATTTAGGTATAATCAGTTTAAGACATTGGGACACGACACGTCAGATGAATGCTTAAAACTAATTTTCCCGAATGGTTAAACAATACATCCTGTAGGACACTTATAAAATTTGATCTGTTAGAATTTAGTAATGCTCGTTTGCTAATGAACGCTAAGTTATAACTACTACTGTATGCGTGAATATCTATAAATTCTCTGAAAACGTAACCTATACATACCAACTGGAAATAAATGAAACAATCAGATTAAAAGCATAGAAATATCTAACCCATGTGTTACTGGCTTGAAGATAGCAGCAGTTTAAATACATAATAAAAAACCTTCAAAATTAGGCAATATAAAAAGTTTATGATATAGAAATGTACAATAATGAGTGTGGGCAGAAAATAAACTTACATTTTACAGGAACTCTATCTGGAAATTGAGATTTATAAATATCGATAGCCTTGAGATGAGTCACTTTCCTTTTGTGGAACGCTTTTAATACTTCGCGAGAAATTATGTAAGCACCACCTCCCAAAAGAACTGTTCGGTAAAGATCTAGGATAAATGACGAATTTTTTTATATAAATCTAAGTTTTTAAACCGAATTTTAACATCAAAAAACTTAAGAAAACCTTTACTACATTTCTAAGAGTTTTCATGAAGGAGACAAAAATCAATTGGATGGGCTTCTATAACAAAATTGTTCCAAAAAATTAGCCTGTCGATAAAAATCCACCTGAAGACTATCAAATATTGTCTATTCCGTGTACATCTAAATATCTCGTGATTAACATCGTATATTGTATATTTGATGGTGTTACAGTAAATCAGATAATGGAACAGAGGTAGTTCTATGGCGACTTTTCCTGATTATCAATTTTTTGACGATCCATTCTTGTTTTAATATCATTTCACGCTAACACAGTTGCTTAACTTCTAAAAAACTTTTAATCCTGTGATGTCTGTCTTGATTAATTTGAACCTAGGATCCAACTAGGCAGCGTTATCTACTTTCTCAAATCTCCTTTTGGTATCCTTTGAAGACATTGTGGAACATCGACGGGAGGTGTGATAGGTGATGATAAAGCTCGAAACATATGAATGCCATAATCTTAATGAGTGGTAATGCACAAACTAGTGGAATCATAGTCAGTTCATAGTCATAAGTATTTCGGGCTTTGTACAATAGGTGCATATCCTAGTGAATAACATGATAATCATTGTTTGCTGGAGCTTGGACCATTTGGAAGACATTTAAGGTGATCAGTTCCTGTGGTGAAACCGTAACACAAGTAATTTTAATGGATAAGTAATCGTCGTTGTATGGTGATTTTTTGGATGAGACCCCGGAAATATCGCCAAATATTATTCAAAATTATAATTAGTAGTCTTTTCGTCCATTTATTTTACCTAGCTAAACAGATATAGCAAAAACTGCATAATCTTTGTATATATTCTGTGATTTCACTTTGGATTATTTTATTCATCAATTCCTTCTTAATGCAGTTGCTAGAATAAAAGCCAGTGGCGATCCTGCTGTAAATTTCTTCTACTTTCTTCATAAAAAGTGAACGTAACATTTCCAACTGGGATTCTTTCTGGTTGTAGTTTTGCTAACTGAACTGCCTCTCCCATTATTGTTATTTCACTCTCGTACACCAATTTCTGCTCGTTGTTGTTCTCTTTTTTCTTATACGCACTTTACATTTTTCACATTCTCATTATTATTGTATGGCGCATATGTATTTGGTGCCCCTTTGCACCAATATTTGTGTTCAAATAAATAAATAAAAACAGTCGGTGACCATGGTGTACCAAAATTATGAACATATAATGAGTTAAAAAAAATCGTAATGGTAGTAATAATAAATAGACATGTTACCACAATACTCAAAAGATACATGACTGGCATCATTGAAACGAACCCCACAACAAATACTTTATTACTGTCTCATGGATTGATTGTATATATAGAACTAATTCGTTGATAAGAATTTCACTGAACAAACTCTCCCATTAATTTAAATGTAAAAACCTGGCATAATGAAGGCCCTGAGAAATACGTCACATAAGACCACAATATTCCTAGGAAACAGATGTAGACAATAAAACGTTAAAGTCTCACTAAGACCCTGAGAAGTTCCTCTTTTCTAAAAAAGCAGCAGCAACAGTTGTTAGTTCCGGATACTTTTGCAACAATATAACGTTCTTTACAATATCTAAACATAAGTGAGCCTTAGGACTAAGTTATCATGACGTTGAATAAGTGTAAAACATGAAAACAGTGGTAACCAGATATCCTCGGAAATACCGGAATTTAAAGATGTACAACATAAATGTAATGAATAGAAGTAACTCAGACTACAAGCTATTAACATTTGCTATGCAATGACTAGTTTCGCCTATTAAATGGTCTACATTTACTGGGGCATGTTTACACATGGTTTAGGTAGAATCGCGGTTTCTGGTCGAAATAGCCAACACTGCAGTTCGTTGTAACCGATTTAATGTTGAAGATTGTTGACATAATGTCCCGAATGTGTGGCTACCTGGAGTAAAGACGGGAAACAAAAGTCTGAGTCAGTCTTTTCGAATTGGCACTTGTTGCAAGCCAGATGAACGTCAACGAGGTCTTTAAACACATTTATACGTATGCTTACTGGATTTCGCCCCCAAATGCCCTGGTACGGCCAAAAGTGGGGAGAGACCGCTCTCCCTCTCGAAATGCTCTCACATGGCCATGCGTATATAGCCTCTGCCCGGGAAGTCCTACTCACTGCCTTCTCGAGGCGGGGGTGTTGTTTACAAAAATGAGAGGACGAAAAGCGAATGTCCGGCGCTTTAACCGGATCCCAAACCAATGGTGCACATGGGCTCCAGTATCCTGCAGGAACAAATGGCGTATGAACCAATCGTTGGTCACCGGCTACCATGGGACTGCATCTCCTCACGATGCTCCACTGCCTTGTGGGTCAGACGTTCAGGTCGAAGGCTCGGGTTGTGGCCCCCTAAGAAAACCACCTGCTTCGGTTTGGGCACCCGGGCAGTATCACAGCCCTCACACAAATCAATTGCGATTCGTGTGGCGCATATGTATTTGGTGCCTCCCTGTACCTATACTTGTGTTAAAATAAATAAAATAAATAAATAAATTACTGGATTTCAGTCAACAGGCTGGAGTGCACAAAACATCAGAATAAAAATGAGCTCATGACAATCATATTATTGACCATCATATTGATAAGTAAAATTTAGATATCTCTAAACGCTACAGATTGGTACGAAATAAGTGTGTAAGTACAATATGGGAAGCTCAGTGAAAATATAAAAAGCAGTTGGCCGAATCTGTAATCAAGCGGCCTAAAAGACTATTCTCGTACATAAATTACAGAACAAGGACGCAGCATCGGATTCCAAACGTAATTACGGAAGGGATTGAGTATCAAATGATAGAGGATGATCAGGAAAAAGCAGAGGCTATGACAAGCCATTTCAGGACAGTTTTCACTCAGAAGTCTACTAGACGAATAACCAGACCTAAATACAAAGTGAAAAAATCGTCTGCTCACTTTGGACTTCGGTCGAAATGATGTACTTAAGGCTCTTAGTACATAAGATACGAACAAGTCAATAGAACTGGATGAACTACACTAAAATCTTGAGACAAATTGCACAATGTATTGCTGTCCCATTGACTACAATATTCAATATGTCACTTGACTGTGGTGAGTTACCTACGAACTAGAAGGATGCAATTGACACTCCAATACACAAAACAGGATCAAAACAACTCCCATTAAACTAAAGACCTGTCGTAGTTAAAATACTGGGAAGAACGATCATGACATTCGTAGAAACCAGCAACATGTTAAACAGCGAACAATATGGTTTCAGGAAACGTTTATCTTGCGCATCAAATCTCTTTATAGCAAGAGAGAACTGGATAGAGGATCTAGACAATGCAAAATTAGTGGATGTTATCTACATAAACTTCAGCAAAGCATTTGATAAAGTGCAAAAAATAACACTACTCTTGAAGCTGAAAATCTAGGCATTGCCGGACCTCTCCTAAAGCGGCTTAACGATTTCTCGTAGAGAGAAAGTATGGATAATTTCCGAGTGTTCCGCCTAAAAACCAGTACTTTGTGGAGTTCTACAAGACTTTGTCCTACGTCCATTACTTTTTATGCTGTATGAAAACGAACTCCCAAGTAAAGTCCCCAATGCTACTATACACTGATGTAAAAATTCGGCGAGAAAAAACAGGAGACCTAGACGCGTGCGCACTTTAAGCAGACCAAGATTCTTTGACTAACTGGTCTAAAAAATGGCTGATACCTATGAACGCAGTCAAGTGTCTACATGCACTTTTGGGATATAAAGGTGAATAGGTACAGAATAGGGGAATTGTCTGTACCCGTAGTCTCCCAAGTATCTTGGAGTGACAGTGAGCCATGATCTTAAGGCCACGGCCCACTGCCGCAAGGTAGCAGCTAAGGGGTATGGAACACTATGAGCCTTAAGACGGACATTCATCAAGTTAGATACTACAATGTTCACCACAGTATACACAACCTTAGTGAGAACTAAACATGAAAACTACCTTCAGGCTGCAAACCCGTTCAAAAGATGACTCGGATATCCTGTAAAACGTTCAGAGGTCAGCTATTCATGCGATTTCAGAACCCCAGGGTTTACCATACAAAGAGTAGCTTGAAAAGGTAAACCTCTTTACTCTGTTCTACCACAGACTAAGAGGTGATCTGATTTTCATGTACAGAATACTAAGGGATGAGTTTGGACCTAATACGTCTTCTTTTTTTTCCTACCAGATTAGGACAACTCAGAGGACACAGCAGACGAGTGGAAAAGCCAAGAACGAGGAGTATACCAGTGGTATACATGTTTTCACAGAGTCATCAATTGTTGGAACCTGTTAGCCAAAACAGTTGTGTCCGCACCTTCAACTGACTCATTCAAGAGAAGACTGGACACTTATAAAAGCATACTAGAGAAGAAATAACGTGGGCCGTATGCCTTCTATCCTTACTACACAAGTCTGAGTCTGAATTTAAATTTAAGGTCAGTCAAAACTGAAGCAGCAAAGTTTAGTCGGGAACCAATCGTGAAACATTGCGCCAAAGATCCCAGAGGATTGTTGAAGAGAAAGTATACGAGCAGCTTGCTGCTGAACTTTTAATTACTTGCTTATGTAAATCGCGAGCCCTCGAAACATTGGAATAACGGTTGTTACATGCATGCAACTGAATAACTGATTCAACGCAATGGGAAACCAACAATAAATGTTCACCTACGTGCGTAAAGGGGTCTCATCGTATAAAAATTCCATGTTAAATGCAAAGAAGCAGCCCAAAGCGCCATAGCCTCGGGAATCATCTCCAAACAAAATACGACGTCCTTGAGATTCCAATATCCAATATCTAAGTCATGAGCTAATATGTGTGGCGGGTCACGTCTAGTCAGAAGGTACTTTGTATCAAGAAAACCTGCAGAGTAGATTGCGTTAGGAGGGCTGTAAAAGAGAATACTGAACATAATGGAAAGTCAACAACCTGGTAAATACACACAACGCACTTACATTTAATAATGGAAGTAACCGACAACAATCAGCAATAACTCAAGCCTAAGGTAAAGATAGTCTTTGGGTTGTAAACAGAACCAGATAGTTCAACTAGCTACACTACAGATCGATTGATTTCCTTACACTCGTTTCTCGTTGTTTCAGTACGGTTCCAGGTATTTGGTTGTATCCAATAGGTATTGATCTATCCAATCCATTAAGCCAATTCAAGTCGATTTGGCAATTATTTGAGGAATTTTATATCTTGTAGTTTGAGTGGGTGCGTTTTTCCCAGGGCGGTACAGATTTTAGGTAGTAATAGCTATCACATTAGCAGGTAGGACGTTGGTTGGTCGTGAAAATAATGAAGTGATGATTCGAGTCCTGAGTGGAGGTGATTGTTTCAAGAACATATAAATAACTTAATTGGTAGTGTGTAAGAAGACGGGATTAAAGGATAAAGAGGGGAAACGGAGGTGATAATGACGCCCTCCTTGAATATCTAAACTACCTGCTTCTGCCATCTAAATATTTCAATCAGTTATCTGTTTTCTATTTTGTTTTAACACCTCATTATGTTTATTAAGTGCCCAACCTATAAATGCGCGTTTACGGAAAGCTTGCAACTTTTCGCTGCACAAGTTACAAAAAAGTACAATAAGAGACATCGTGGTGGTTGGTAATGTGCATTGACGAGAAAGAACATTAATCGATTGTGGAGCTGCTGAATCCCACCTGTCGGTCACTAGTTAACAAAGTGTACTACTTTCAGTTCTCGCTAAGCCAAAATGTGTATCGTAATTGTGGTGTATGATAATTAAGAGTACTTGAATTATAGTACAAACTGAGAATCCCAGAAATAACTATCAGATCAGGAAGTACTAGATAAGCATGAACGGATGTACTGTACTTGGAATTCCAAATCAAGCATTCAACAAGTATAAACAAACCCTTATTTCATACAAACACCATATCCGCCACAGCTGAAATTGGAGTCTTAGTGTCTGTAATCGATTATACGTCTTCTTTTTAGGTCCATCTTCCATCTGTCCGACAGTGTATTGGATAAAGACTTTGTATTGTCTAGAATGTACTCATTAGCATTAGAATTAACAACCGAAATGGGAACAGACTAACATGGTTCCTAGAATTGTATTTGATCAACATGCCGTGTGTGTGTACTTAAGTCATTAATATCTAGAATTTGCACCATAGACTTTCCGAAATTCTTCAGCACAATCCCCTTGGCTGGTCAAAGATCATTTCCACGATAATACGTAACTTCTTCAGACTCCAAATACCTCATATTCGAACAAAGAATTCTTACTTCTGATAGATTTGATGGAGTCTCTTTAGTCACAGAATGTCTACCGTTTCTATAATGCAGTAGGAAGGTATCTACTCCCCTCTCCAGTTCAATAGAATCAAGAGCAGTTTTCAATGTACAGACAAAATTGTCTGCCTAACCATTACAACAAGGATGTCTAGGAGCAGTAAACAAATGTTTGCACCCTATACTATTCAATCAGGTAGTAACTACATCCGCAGCAAAATGAGAGCCATTATCGGACACTAACACCGTTGGAACCCCTTCTCGACTAAACGCTTTTCTTAATGCTTGAATTGTGAAGTCAGAATTTGGTGAAGTTGTGAGAAAAACTTCAGGCCACTTTGAAAAAGAATCAGTGACTACAAGTGCATAGTATTTGCCAAGAAACGGACCACAATAGTCTTCATTAATTATCTTCCAAGCCTCAGACGATACTGGCCATGGAGTTCACTTCGAAAGCTGATTTTTTAACTTATAACATTCTTCACAATTGTTTGTTGTACGACATATATCTGCATTTATCTCTGGCCACCAACATGTGAGCCATCCAATGACTTCATTTTCTCAACACCTAAATGTCCACTATGAAGATCTTCAAGGACAGATTTACACAATGGAGGAGGAATAAACGCGAAATACCATCAGGAGTAGTGGCTAGCTCATCCTGCTTTGAAAAGTAGATATGAAATCTACGTTTCAAATTAGCATTCCAACCTTTCCGTATAGCATTAATTATGCATGCAAAATATCTACAAGTTTCTGTATTGAGATCTGAACGTCTCACTGGTAAAGGTTGCACTGACAAACAGTCTGAGGTATTAACAGGTATATCTTGTAATGACTGTCGAGAAATGTGGTCAACGCGTTGAATTTATTTGGCACTCTTGTGCTGAACCATATAATTGTAAGCTCTCAAAGCATTACTCGATCGTTGAATCATAGCAGCTGAGGAACGTGCTAAAGATTTTTCAGAATGATAAATAAACTTTAAAGCTTCATGATCAGTAACAATAGAGAATTTCCTTCCGAATAAATATTTATGAATTCTTTTAACAGCCTAAAATACAGCTGATGCTTCTCGCTGAGTTTATGAGTGATTTTGTTCAGTAACTTTGCGTGAAACACAAATAACTGGTCTACCTTCCTGCTCCCAACCTGTGTCAATACTTACAGGTGATGCATCAGTAATAAGCATAGAATGTATACTAGGGGAGTGAGTTCGAAGAACAGCACCAGTTTGAAGAAACTTTAGTAGACTTCGTGAGCATGACTCTTGTTTCTCACCCCATTTGGATGAATTAGATGTCAAAATATTAAATGAACAATTGGCACGGCAAGAAAGATTAGAAATAAAACGGGAATAATATTGAAAAGCATCCACTAATGAACGTAGTTCTGTAAGATTTCTTGGAAACAGTGCATTTGTCAGTAGAGCTAGTCGTTTCATATCTGGTCTAAAACCATTACCATCAACTAGGTATCCAAGACATTCGAAATTAGATACACTAAATGAACACTTATTTGAATTCACTGTAATATTCTTCTCAATTAAACGACGCAATAAATAAGTAAGTCTCTGGTCATGAACTACATCATCAGATCCATGACCAATGAGATCATCGTGATAAACTTCAACACCTTCAGGATCACTGACTACTTTATTCATAACTTCCTGAAATAGGGTTGGAGAACAACTTAGACCAGACGGAAGGAAATTGTATTTAAACAGAACAAAAAGTGTTAATTGTCGTCAAAATAGACGAAGATTGATCTAAAGGGATTTGAAGATAAGCATCTTTTAGGTCAAATTTCGATAAAACTTTAGAACCATGAAGTCGATTTAGAATATCTTCAGCCTCTACCGTCGTGCATGTTTGCTTCAACAAATGGGAGTTCAATGTTAATCTATAGTCACCACATATTCTAGGAGTCTTGCCGTCCGATTTCAGTGGCGTAACAATAGGAGTACCCCATGCTGAAGACTGAACCGGTTCAATCATGCCTTTTGCACACAAACCGTTTAATGTTTTATGTACTGCATCTCGAAGACCATAAGGAATTATTCGTCTTTTAAGAAAGACTGGATCACCCTGTACTTGAAGTTTTATAGGCTGAATTTTCATACCTCCACTGCACTTAGCACACGTGGCTATCAAATCTTTAAGTAAAGCACCATTATTTTCTTTATAAACTAGGAAAGACAGCTCCACTTTAAGCCTTTTCAAATTCCTTAAGCCCAGTATTGACAGTCCTGTTTCGCTAACTAAAAATTCACAAGGTATGTATGAAGAATTATCACTTCTTATTAGCAACTCACAACATCCTCGTATAGGCAGTCTGTGTCCAGTAATCCCCAATATTGATACCTCAGTGGGTCGTACCACAACGTTATGATCTAAAGATTTGAAGTTCTATACTGCCTGTGTCCACAATAAAGTCATGACATGAACCATGAGATGTATATAATCGCTTTTGAATATGAGCATTACCTTTCAAAACAGTAGACAAAGATAAATGATCATTAGGAACAGCTGAATTATTGGGATCTAAATTACAAGATTTATTACTACTTGAGGCAAAATGAACAGTAGCTTTGCATACTGTTTGAATGTGTCCTATCTTACCACATCTAAAACATTTAGCATTACGAAATGCACATGAATTACGAGAATGAAGTTTTCCACATGATAAACATTTGCTAAACCTGGTCTCACCTTTGTGATTCGCTTCGTAATTCCTTGTTGAAACACCTTTCATATTTACACGAGAATAAAAATCATTATTAAACAAACGCAGATTCGATTGACCCTGAGATTGTGTTTTATCATGACGACTAAGCAAAGTATTAGAAATTTTAATCGACTGAATATCGTAATTAATACGAGCGGTTCTAACATCATGAAATGAACAATACTACATTCTTAACAGCTCTTTTTCCAGACCCGGTATGTTTATTCCTGCAGTCAACAGATCTCTCCGTTGCACATGGAGTAGGTTACCAAAATTACATTTGGCAGTTTATTTCTGTAATTCAAGGATGAATTCTCCAACCTCTTGGTCATTCTGACGAATCATCTTATGAAATTTCGCTCTTTCATGACATTCAAAATTGGTGTACTTTACATGATAATAGCTCCTTAAGAGTTGCATAAGGAAGTGAGGTAGGCTTTTATGGATGTGCCAAAGCTTTTGAATGGGCTACATGGTTCTTTTCCGATGAATGACAGGAAATGTGCCACAATGTTATCACCCTTTACATATTTCTTGGTCATGCCTCACACTTCATGAGCGGGCTCTGTCTTATCCAAACACTCCTTTAAACAACAGTTTGTAGACGTTTGTAGCCCCCTTTATTTGGTCGTTCACCAAACTTTCTAATAACTATGGGGGTCCCAAAATATAGCACTAGGGGCTTGTGGCAGC